CGGCATGGGGAACATAACTTGTGTTCCTCAAGCACCCGGCAGGCTCCGAGGCTCTTTCAGAAGGAAGCCCTCGCTGAAGAAAGAGTAAGTACACTTTGCTTTTACCCCGCGCTGCTTTCCAAGCGGTGCCGGCTTTCCCTGCTGGCTTTTTTCCCGTGGGATGCAGCGTGCAGGATGGGGCTGAGCCCTGCTCGGGAGAGCCAGGAGTGAGTTGTGTGCTCAGCAGAATCGGGGCTTGCATGGATTCATGGGGTGCTGGGCAGTGCCAGGCGCAACCAGCTCCCCACAAGAGCCTGGGAGGGAATTCCGGGGCTATGCCAGCAGCGTATCCCAGCACGTTGCCCCTGGGAGAACTGTGATGTAGTTGATTTCAGTTGAAAAACTAAAGCTCCCCTCCATGGAGCAGGCAGGGCAAGGTGCAGAGTGAACACTCCTTGTTTTCACCCGCGATGTTTTTACTCATGACATCAGAATCAGGGTGCTCTGTGGTGATAGAAAGATATTCACCCTCCTCTGAGTTCAGGGAGAAAACCCCAGATCCCAACACTCTGCCCCTTGAGCTGCATTTGGAACCCTGAGTGAAGACACAACTGAAAATATCCATGAAATCCTTTGGGATCTTTGGTGCTGGGCTGGGCAGGGCAGCGTTCAGGTACCCAGTGATGGATCCCAGCCTAGTGGAGAGCGTGGAACACAGGGGCTTGGAGCAACCCGCTCTAGTGGAAGGTGTCCCTGCCCGTGGCAGGGGGTTGGAACTGGAGGAGCTTTAAGGTCCCTTCAACCCAAACCAGGCTGGGATTCCATGATTCTGTGATTCCTGCCTTTCCCATGCTCCCATCCCTGCTGGTACTTAAGCATGCACAAAGCAGAACCCTCCCCATCCTGAGTGTTCCAGTCTGGAAAGGAGCTCTGTTGGGAAGCAGGGTGACTCCTCATGATCCTGCTGGCCCCTTCTACGCTGGTTTCAGTGTACATGCTGGGCTCCGAGACAAACCCCATAAACCCTGCTCAGCTGAGTGGTTTCTAATCAAAAGGAGGCACTGAAACCGTCCCCTTGGCCTCCTGTGCTGCCATAAACTGGGAGCAAACCTGTAGGAGTCTGTGGAGCTACTGTGGGATAAAAGATGGGGGATCACTTGGGGAATGTGGACCCCGGAGGGCTGACATCGGGTGGCTGCAGGGGAACATCTGAGCCAAGAGCACCTCCTGTCCCTGATGACTCCCACTTCCCACACTCTCCATGGAGATAAGCCTGGTTTCTGCTGAGCCAAACACTGCAATCTGGTGGAGATGGAGCAACTCCTGGGAATTCCCAACAGCTCATTAGTGACTGCTCCTTAGTGGTGGGCTTGCAAGGAGGAGCTAGGAGTGGAAGGAAAGAGAGAGGAAGCCCACCAAGATGGAAATCAACCCCCTTTGTGACTAGATAGTGGTGTATGTGTACGTATTTGTCTCCATTCCAGGGGCTTTGGAATAGCCATCAGGATTGGGTTTGCTCTTTGTGTTTTGCAAAGGAACACCTGGTCGCTGCACTGATTTGGAGACAGCAATGAGTCAGCTCAACCTTTGGTGATGCAAAGGCAAAGACACACCAACAAGTGCAGCACAAACGCCATCACAGGTCTCCAAGGCTGTTTATCAGCCCTTTACTGGACTGGGATGGTTGGAAAGCCCGTGACAAATTGCTTGCTTAGTTTTATGGCTTCCTGATTTCTAGGGCAGAATTCACTGTGTATCAGCCTAGATGTGTGTTTGCATGTGTGTGTTTTGGGTTTCTTTTCTCCCTTCTGTAGACAAAATGGCAAGAAGAAACTGCCCAGCTTTTTTGGGATAGAAGGAGGGCAGGAGAGAGATACGACCACAGACAAAATCCTGCAGTATATTCCAGGAAAGGCAAGTATAAACACATCCACCCCCCTTTCCCACTGCTCCCAGAGATTATTCCCACCTAAGGACAGTGCTGTGCATCAGAAAGAGGATGGGTCTGGATCTGGGGGTAGCAGCAGGGATGTCTCATGGAGATGGAGGTCACATCTGCAGCTCAGGGAGGGATGAGCTCCATGAAGGTGCTGAGGTGACCAAAATGTGTAATGGGGTGGGAGGATGCTGCAGAGAGCAAAGCAGGCAGCATGATGGGAATATCCCCCACACATCCCCTTTGCTCTTGGTTCTTTTGTTTCTGGGTAGCCTGCAAGAGAAGGGGAAAATGAGAGCGAGCATTCAAAGGTGGGATGATTCATTCCCACGCTGGAATGAGCCGGAGCAGCAGTGTATTAGCAATAAGCCTCGGGAAGGTAAGCAGGAAGGGCAGGTCTGTCCCAGGCACGTACCAGCCTTGTGGCCATATGGCCCATTTCCCAGCACTGCTCAGGGAAAGCAGAGGTAAAATGATGAACCCCACTATGTTTTCTCAGCCCCTTTGGGTAAAACAGGGATGTGGATTGAGCTTCGGGGCCCGCTGGGCTACACTGTGCATGCATCTCCCCCACTGCATGGCAATAGGATATGTGGATACAGGGAAAGGGGAAACTGAGGCAGAGACAGCTAGTAGAGGTCATTTCAGAGCAGGTCAGCAGCAGGACATTATCTCTTGGGTTTCAAGCTGCTGGCTAGGTGTGTCTCACTGGTGACCACCCAGTTCTGAGCAGTCCTCATGTACTTTGGGTTGCTGGAGAGATTCCAACATCTGCTCCCCACAAGCAGGGGCTCTTCAATCCCTTTCCATGCAGCTTCTTCCATGCTGCCCCTTTCCAACCCTTTTGCTATTCCTCATGCAAGCCTGAGAAGGGAGCAGGGCTGGGACCCTCCTCCTGGTTTGTGAGGTGGCCATGGGTGAGTGCGGTCCTCTCTCTTGGGACATTTGTCTGTGCTGAGGTGGGAATTACAGCGGAACTGGGAATGTTTTGTGCTTCTGCCTGTTATTTGTGAATGGAAGTAATGGGGATGTGGCATGGGCATGGGTCCCTGTGGGACTTGGCTGGCATCCCGAAGGATGGGACCAGGTCCTGGATGGATCCTGGATCCTTCTGCTGGAGAAGCTGTCATGTTAGCGGATCCTGGAGCTGACAGAACAAAGGTCACTGCAGGATTACTCAGTTGGGAGCACAGGAGAGTGTGGGATCTCTCCAGGGAAGGAAGGAGGGCGGAGCGGTTGTTGGGATGTTACCCTCGCCTGGGGCACATGGGATTCAAACTCAGCCACAAGCTTCTTGTGTGGCCTGGAGAAAGCCTTGGCTTTGCCCTTTTCCCAGTCCTAGCTTTTCAGGAGAAACACCACCAAGAGCAGGAAGGGCTGGGATAGAGAGAGGGTGGGATAGAAAAGAACCATCAGCCCTGAACAAAAAAAAACTCAGAGGTGATGGGATCACCAAACCTCAGGCCATGGCCGGCAGTTTGGGGCTGGGGCAAGTGACACCCCTGAAAACCACATTCCCTCTGTACCCTGCCATGAAACCAGCACCTTTTGCTTCCACCAGCTTCATGCCCTGTTTCCCACACCTCCCCGTCCCAGCCTCTGTGAAGCCCAAGCAGACGCGAGTGGGGAGGATGTGCCAGAGGAGTGTTGCTTCTCATTTGCTGCTTCTATCATTAAACAACAGCTTTGGGAGCCCCAGGGCACGTCGAGAGGCTGAGCTCTTCCTGCTGCAGGGTTGTGATTCAGCTGGGAGTCACTGTGGTCTGCAGGGGCTGAGGCAGGTTAATTATTAACTTGCTCTACCTGCAGGATGAGGCATTGGAGATGGGGGGAACATGTCAGGGCACTCGCACTGCCAGAGACCTGCTGCTTCACCAAACCCAGACAGCAACCGGGTTGCCAATGCTCTGCACTGCTTCAAACCCAGCTGAGCTAACAGAACCAGCACCGATCAGGATGGGAATGGGGGAACAGAGAGCTTGCCACGAGCACAGCCCCGCCAGGGGAGTAAACAGCAGGCTGGGAAGATTTCAGAGGAATGACAAATGCCAGTTCCCCTTCCTTTTGGCTGCTCTCTGAGGCATCCCCATGGTTTCAGGGATGCATGGGCCAGGGAGATAAGTGATGCTCGTGGAGGAGGCTGTGACTGCTCTGGTCCCTGACTCCCCCAGGACATCATGGGATGCCCAGTGCTTCTTCTGGGGGCTGGCCAGATCTGTCTCAATCCCTCAAAGACGAAAGAGATGCATTTATGGGTCTGAGCCCAGAGACATCTGAGACTCAGCAGGAGCTGTTTTCTCCAGAAGAGAGTTCTCCATATCCTGGGAAATTGCTGTTGGACCTAAGCAGATGATGAGGAGTTTGTGGGAAGCACCATTAACCTTACAAAGCTTACAAAGCCAGTGCTAGACAGCCTACTTCTGGAAACAGGGGACAAAGAAACCATAGGCATTGCAGATGGATGTGGCTGCCCCATCCCTGGCAGTGTTCAAGGCCAGGTTGGACACAGGGGCTTGGAGCAACCTGCTCTAGTGGAAGGTGTCCCTGCCCGTGGCAGGGAGTTGGAACTGGATGAGCTTCAAGGTACCTTCCACCCCAAACCATTCTAGGCTTGTATGGACAAAGCAGATGAGCTTCTTGCACACAGATAAATGTTGCATTCATTTGGGGTTCAACAGTGGCATTCCAGGGAAGGATATGAAATTGCTGGAAAAAATTAGAGACCTGGTAAAATGTGAAAGACATGAACAATCCTACTTCTTCCTGTGAAACCACAATGTCTGATCATGAGTGATAAGACTGGGGCTTGAAAGACTAGTGTGACATGAGGTGGATGGGTCCTGCAGCTGAAAGGAAGGGGATTCAATGATGTGTTCCCATTTTGTCCATGGTCTTGGAGATGCTCCCATGTTTATCCACTATCATCTCAGCCTTGCAAGCTGGAGTTTCCTGATGCTTGTTGGGGAGCAGGAGGTATTCCATCTCATTTGTTCCTTGCCCCATGAACCATGGCAGTGGAAGCTCTCCCTTCCCCTCCTGACCCCGCCAGGATCCCTATGGAAGCCAGGGGACTGGCTGAGCTCCTTCCCAAAACTACTGCTGGATTCCCAGCTCCATGGTTGCTTTTGCTTCTTGGGGCCTTACATACTACAGGGGAATTTGGCTGCCACGTTCCAGGCAGCAGCACTGCCCAGGCAGCTGGTAGCTGGTGCTGCTATTGCTGTGTCCATAATTCCATTGCTTTATCCTTTCCCTGCTCCCGGGTGCCGGTTGCCTTTATCCCAGCAGTGTTTTGTTATTGCTGTCAGGTGATCCACTGCTCTTTGTTCTGACAGCAGCTTGGAGCTCACATGTAATCTCTTCCTACATGTAATTGCGTCTCGGTGAGAGCAGGAATTGGCAGCCAGCAGGTTCCCACCTCCAGGGTGCTGCTCATGGGAATTGCATGGAGCCGGTGGGAAAAAGCTGAGCAGAGAAGGGGTTAATGTGTCTCTTCACAAGAGTTTCCTCCATTCAGGGGAAGGAGCCCCAAGCTCTGCAGGTGAAAGGGGCAGCATTAGGTTACCAGCTCCCCTCCGGCCCTGCTATGGGTATGAGGGGGGTTAATCTCATGCCGGAGGCTTGAGTCACGGAGGCCCCAGCAGACAGATCAGCTCAACTCTGCTGCTCCCCATTTATCACGGGGCTTACGCAGCTGTCTCCTTGGCACAGCACACCGGGAATGGGCAGCCGGGCAGGTTGGGAAGCGCTGGAAGCCGCTGGTGTGTGCGGCAACGGCTGACACTGGATCCCTGCGGAGCCCCGCAGCCCTCTGCATGCTCATTCCTGGAAATGCTGTTTGGATAGAAGCATATGGGGATCTGCATGCCACTGCTGCACCCTGTATCCCACCTCCAGCACGGCCATGGAAGTATCCCCAGGGATCCCACCAAGGCGGCCTCAGCCTGGGGACAGGGCAGCAGGGTAGACCTTGCCTCTCCCTCCTGCCTTTCTCCTTTGCTTGTGAATGAACACCCGAAGTGTGTGCTGTGCCTAACAAAGCTGACATTTAAGATTACAGTGAGGTGTAGACCTAGTGTCTGTGGCCTCATTGGGATACAGCCAGTATTATCCCCAAGGAAATCAGCCAACCCTCAGAAATAAAACCATTCTTCCCAAAGAAACTGCAGAGAGAGCTTTTCACGCCCGGATCTGTGCAGTATCCACATTGCAGCAGCAGCCCTGGGCTGTGAGCAGCAGAGTGCAATAGGGATGTGGGTTTGTGCTGTGGCACTAAAGGAAGAATTTCCATACAACCAGAATGTAGGAATTAAGGGAATGCCCCAGCCCTGGCTGCTGTCTCCCTCTCACATCAGCCCTTGCTCTCATGGAGCTTCCCTTGCCTTTTTGCACTGTCAATAAGCAGCTCCACAACTCAAAGCTGTGGGACTCAAAATAGTATCTGGAACAACACATTCCACCTGGAGAAACCGAGGGATCTAAGCAGATGGGATTGCTGAGGAATCCAGGTGGAATTAGGGCAAAGAACACCTTTCCACTAACCCCAGTGGAAGGCAAGCTGTGCTTGCTTGGCCTTGAGCAGTCCTTGTTGCAAAGTGTTTGATAAGGATGGCAGGAGATCATGTAGGGACACCCTAAATGTAGAATGTGCTTCTGCACCCCCTCTTCTCAACCAGAAAACCTCCATTTAGGTCAGTATCTCCCCTTACATAGGGAGAATGAAGTAACCAAATCCCAGCTCCACGCTGGCATGGAGACCCAACAACAAACAGCCTGGCCCGGACACATGCCCAGGGAGCCTTTCTGAGGAACCCCTCTGGGAAGATGTTCTGGGAATGTCTCTTCCAGACATCATCCCACTGGCTCTGATTTGGTTTTTATCTGGAATTCTTGGTACAGAATATTCAGATCCAGGAAAACCAGAAAGAGAACTTGGACCAGAGGTTCCCCAGCCTGTTCAAGAAGGGACGGAGGAAAATGGTTGTCAGGAATCTGGGCAAGATGATCTATTACTCCAAGGTCAAGTTTAAGTTCCAGCACTGCCAGGTAAGCTGCAGCCCTTGTTTGTGGGGGTTTCTTTTCCCAGGAGTGGCTGGTGACACTGGCTCCCATCCCAGTGGGGATATGGCCATGCTTCCATGCTCAGATCCATCAGCAGAGATGTGGTGGTGGCCCTTGGATAAGCGACCTTTGGCTTATCCATGCACAGACCAGTGTGAGGTGCAGAGGGAAGCTGGGAGGAAGAAGGTGACCTGAGATAAACCCCAAAACATGTCTTTTCTGCAGGAGGTGAATGACTGCTTCTTGGAGCTGTTCCAGTCCTACCTGTACTTCCAGTCTATGGGCTCCAATGGACTCACCTACCAGGTAGCGCATCTCCAGGTGATCTTGGAGGAAAGCAGCATGTCTTCCTAAGGACAGCCTCAGTCCACCTGGGTCCTTGGCCTTGTCTGTGTGCAGAGATGAAGGACAGAGGTAGCATAAGGGCTTGTGAATGGCTGGCAGGCAGGACCAGGGTGGGAGGTGTTTAGGCTACCTGGAGATACCAAGCACAGAGAGCTATGTGTTGGCAAGGGTCAGAGCTCCTATTGCTCATATATAGGAGAGGCTGAGAGAGCTGGGCTAGTTCAGCCTGGAGAAGAGAAGGCTTCTTAAGGGGAGACCTTAGAGCAGCTCCAGTGCCTAAAGGGGCTAAAAGAAACCTGGAGAGGGGCGTTGGACAAGGGATGTAGGGGCAGGACAAGGGAATGGCTTTAACCTGCAGAGGGGAGTTGAGATGAGCTCTGAGGCAGCAGCTCTTCCCTGTGAGGGTGCTGAGGCGCTGGCACAGGGTGCCCAGAGAAGCTGTGGCTGCCCCGTCCCTGGCAGTGTTCAAGGCCAGGTTGGACACAGGGGCTTGGAGCAACCTGCTCTAATGGAAGGTGTCCCTGCCTGTGGCAGGGGTTGGAACTGGAGGAGCTTTAAGGTCCCTTCAACACAAACCACTCTGGGATTCTGTGATTCTACGTATTATAAACAAAAGGCTGTTTTGCACATGCAGCCAAAAACTCAGCGCCTGAACAAACAGGAAGCCCTGAATGTTCTCTCCCTCCACATGAGTAACTAAAACTGAGTGTGGCTGTTTTGTAGATGTTGGTCAAATTTGTTCCTTTTAGAAGTGATTTCTTGTTTTCTAGGTGACTTGAGGTTGATGCTGTAAGCCAATACAATCTCTCAAGTCATCCAGCCTTCAAGAGGAAAGACACGTCACAATGCAAACAGTCTTACAAAATCTCCCATCTACTTTATAAACAGCTCTTTAGTTTATTAATTCTAGAGGAATTAAAGAGGAATGAATATGCCAATACTGGCCCCTAGACATTACAGCCCATTAGCATTAGTGCTTGTTTAGAAAGCCTGAGACAGGGAGCACAAACTTGTCCTCCTGTGCTTCATTATAGAGGGACTCTGAAGAACTGGAGTACTGGGCAGCTCAATTTTGCTTTACGGTCATACCCACCTTCTGGCTTTCTTGTGTTAAACCAGCATTGTTTTGGCAAGGTTTCCCTTAAAACTGAAGGATTTGGAATATAAAGGAAGTGTTCTGCCCCTCAAAAGAATGGTGTGTTCTCCTTATGCAGGGATTGCTGCCTTTGAAAGAGCTGAGCGTGTGTGAAATGGAGACTGGGAAGAGCACTGGGCAGGAGGATCACGCTTTCCGCATTGCAGGTTGGTGCCTCTTGCTTTGCTTTGAGCAAAGAACAGAGGCTGTATGAATCACGACTGTCTGCACTTTGTCCTGCTCTGACCTTGTCCCAGAGCAGAACCACGCTGTGCAGGGAAGGAGGCTGCAGGGAGCTGAGGCTCTTCCTCCCTGCATTTCCAGCTTTCCCTCCAAGGCTTCCCTGCTCCTAAACTCCTGGTGAGTGATGCCCAGGGCTGCAGGCAGGGAAGGGAGCGGATAGGGAGTGCAGAGGAAGGATGCTCCTGTGCTCCAGCTGGTTAATGCTCAGGGCACATGGTGACAGTTCTCTTTGTGCACCACATTTGAATGAAGGAATGGAATAAAGCTCCTTCTCCTACTTCTTGTGACCATCTAAACCCAGAGGTGAGGAAGTGACTCTGATGGGCAACAGTGCTGGGAGGCGAGTTGCCTCTGCTGTTAACACCAGCACCCAATGTCACTTCCCTCTTCTCCAGCACTCCTGATTCCATGAGCTTTTTAAACTTGCTTTATAAAGTGTTTCCTGGGATAACAACCTGTCTGCAGCTTGGCTGGAGGCTTCTTTTGGCTTAATCACTGCTGAATTACAGCAGTTGCAAGCCCCCAAGAGTAGCAGTTAAAGCATGAGGTGCATGGAAGTAAGTGATGATACAGAGCCAAGAAAGCTCATTTGTGTCCTGGGCCCTGTCTGTGTATTCTGGTGTCCTCTGGTAGAAAGCAAGTTATACAAGGACCACTCACATGGAAAGATTATATACATTAGAGAGGAGCTGGGATGAACAACCCATTGATTTTAAGGACTGGTTACACTGTTCTAGGCAGAGCTCTCCAGCCCTTCTGGGGAGTCTGTAACGTGAAGGAAAGCTTATCCCAGGCATAACCAGTCAGGAGTGTCTGCCCTGGGGTGGGTGGACTTGTTCTGCTTGTATTAAGACATGCGGGAGTGTGGCTGGGGGGGAAATTGCCTTAAGCTTTGTTGGGGTTTTGTGCTGC